TTGGGACGGATGTGCGCTGAATCACCAGAGTACGACATAATCGAAATGTGCCGGCCATAAGGGTGAATTCAGCATGCTGTATATCCAGCTTAAACTTACTTCACACATTAGTAGATGTAATGGCCACGGGTCAAACAGGAATTTCAACACTGACGCATCAGAGACAGCGATGTAATAAACAAAGGCACCACTCAGCTGAGCTGCGCACAATCACGCATTCACGCACACTGAACTAACACACACGCACGCACACCCCGGTTGCGGGTGATTGTCAAATCATCTCAGAAACATCCTAAAATGAAGATATGAAGACAGATCCGTATTCAGACAGACCCCTATTTAACCGATTGTGAAAACCCTTGAAAAGAGTTAGCCGCGCTAATTGCTGTGGGAACACATTGAACGCTCGGAGCAAACTTCCATTTGGTACAAATCTCCAAGTGATTTCCGGTACGCTGAAGAAGCACCCATGCGTACTTCTTCTTTTTTCACTTGGTTGATTTATTCGTCGGTTGGACTGGACTATCAAATCAGCTTGGAAATTTGCTTCTGACATTTTTACCGAACACATTGTAGCGTGCTCTCCACTAGAAGTCATCGTGTTCTCTCTTTGCACATAATGTAATATGTGAGTTCTGTTGCAGTTCCCAAGGCTATTACGTTACCAGAACAGACGCAGTGCAGTGTGCAGCTGACCTCGACCCCCGGTTATGCCATCTGAATAGTTTGAGGGCCGATAGGTGGAAGGTAAACCACCGGTTGCCAAACAGCTTTTGCAGTCAAACCATCAGACCAACTACGTAGATTCGTCTTCACTGATTGAAGCCTGTGTCTGGCGGTTTTTTTCGAATGAAAGGATTAAGGCAGTCCGAATATCCGAAAGTCTCTGAGTGCGTCACTAACGCAGTGAGAAATCGGGCACCTGTTAAAATTACCCGCCAGCCAACCCCCTTAGCGGAATTCCTCACCCCGGTCAGTTTTCCGGGCAGATGCATCACTAGGAATCAACACAACATTCCATTCAAATCAATCGTGTTTTGCAATTTTTTCCCAAATGGTAGTAAACGCAAATTGGCAAGTTCCCCACCTGAATAAAGTGCCAAGTTCGCCAGAACAGACAAAAAACAGATGAAGCGAAAATATTTTGGAACTATCCGATTAGAGCAGGAAAATGTGTGAATAGATGAAGCCGATAACAGCATAGCCAAACAATATGGCTTCACTTGAACTTTTCCGTTCAAAGCACTCGGTGTTTGTTCCGCGAGAAGCGTTTGCAAATTCTGATTTCAGTGGGCTAGCACTTGCTGATTGCACTCACCATGGGCATCGTTACCAAGACTGACAGGAACACAGCAGGGCTACCTCCTCGAGAACATTGTGTGATCCTGTGCTAAGGCCGTGATCTCAAAGCAAGGAATGGGTTACTTAGCCTAAACGCACAATCTAGGTGCCCTATCTGACAGGCAACGTGCAGTCTAATTCACCGACGGACGGTCAGTAATAACCGAATTCTACGAACTTCACCTGCGTTTGTTCAGTAGTCGCAGTTGGGCAGTGAATAATATATTGATTTGGACTTGGGCAGACAGTATAGATATGTAGACCGTGTTTCTATGGGAAATTTACATTAAATCGTGAGAAGAATTAAAGAAAGGCTTACGGCTAGATTGAAACTTGGGGAGTTAGCAACACAGGATGGCAAACAAAGGGCAGTGTGCTATCGGACAAATTAAACGGGAAGATTGTTGTTCAGTCCAAAGTAGGACAAATTTTCAACAACGAGCTCAGAAATAAATGCAAACAAATCGTCTATAGAAAAACGGTTGAGGTAGAGTCAACTTTGCATAAAATAGAACGGTTCAGTCTTGAAACCTGAGCAGTCACGGAAGGGTGATGAACTAGCCTGAGGAATAGGCAAACAAATAATTACGTCACGTAATTAACAAACATCGTCCACAGTAATGTGTTATGTGCTGAAATACGTTTCATCCTTGTTGAGAATCAATAACAGAGCGCACCTCAGAGAATTCGAAACAATTAGCCGTTTGGCCACGAGTGGCTGACCACTCAGACAGGACATAGTGCCTCCAATCACTGCATCACGTGACCACGTATTGACTGGCTCCTCAAGTAACGAATTTCTTATTTTCGTTGATATGCATAAAGGAAAGTTT